ATTCTTCATTCAACTCAAATGACACTGACCTTCAATGATGTATCAGATATTGGTATTGTACAAGCGAACTGTTTACAAAACAAAATGAAGCCACAATATCAGAGGTTCCATTGAGAATTTCTACAACAAAGCAACATTGTTTCTTCAAATAGGTCTACTTTACTGAACGACGACATTTCTAGGGAAAGTTCACCACAATAGCTGTTTGGGATATAGCTTCATTCTACTGAATGATGTTTTGGTATCGAAGAACTAGGTATAGTTATATTGTCTACTTTCTAGAATGAAATAATTCTGTGAACAACCATTTTTGTAGGTATTTCTTTATACAACATTTTATCAATATAATCAGATTTTATGCTGTAAACTGTTGATAACATATGGTTGAATGTAGAAGCTCATAACAAGCAAAATGTCAATGTAATATCTTAATTATTCCAATAATCCCGAAAAGTGTTTTTTAAGAAATTAAACACAAGAACAAAGAATATCAAAAATGAAATTAAACAATTTGACCGTGCTAACCAATTATTATTGTTGTATGTAAATTCATCAAAGTTTTACGGTCTTTATAACATTTTTTTTCAGTTGTACCTCTATAATAATAATATGCGCAATCCAAAGGTTACACAAATATAGTACAAGCGCCATCTGTGCAATGAACTTAGAACTAGCGTTGCTAGCGCTATGCAAGTTGAGCAAATTGAAAGTGACTAAGAGTGTTGGACTCGGTACAGAGCATTCGTACTAATATACAGCGTTGTTAGTTAGATTTGTTGAAGCTAGATGGCGTGTTCTTCACTTTTAAGTAGTTTATGTTCAAGTTGAAAATAATAATATAGGTTTGCGAAGAAATAAAAATATTAAGGAACTTAATCAGAGATATAACAAAATAATACATCTGATGGGATAATGATTTGATTACAGAAGGTGGTTTATCTATTAAATCTTTGTTCTTTAGCTACTCATCTATTATTATTTTATACAATTTTGTATACAAATCGTGAGTCATTTATTATATAATAATATAAGTAATAGTCAGATTTATATAATAGTCATGATGGGTGGCCATTTTGATAATGGAGACAATGTAAATTTTTCTCTCTATCTCTAGGAAAGATTTGCGTCGAAAGTAAAAATGAGAAGTTAATTGATAAAGGCCACTGATGACAAAACTTATTGGTTACCTAAAAAATAAAAAAAAATGGTCATAATTCTTTTCCACTTCACGAAGTAAGCGATCATAGGAACTATAATTTAATAAACTAAGTACAAAAATTACAAAAATCACAAATGTGGGAGAAATGTATACTCTAAATACGAGAGAGCCATGATTCGGCACGAATGGGCCGGCTCGACCGGAGTGACACCACGGCCTCACAGAAAACCGATGTGAATCAACACTTGCGTTGTGTTTTGTCGTGTGAGTGAGGTTACCGGAGGCCCAATTACCCCCTCCCTAGTCCCCGCCTCCCGAATCCCCGAATCCTCCACAATCCTCAAATTCCCAATTCCCAAAAAGCTGGTAACGCACTTGTAACGCCTTGGTGTTTTGAGTGTCCATGGGCGACGCCGATTGCTTACCATCAGGTGATCCGTCTGCTCGTTTACCGGCTTATGCTATAAAAAAATCCCCAAATCCCAAGTAAACTTCAAATTTCTAATCCCTAAAAGGCCGGTAATGCACTTGTAACACCTCTGGTGATCCAGGTGTCCACGGGCGATGCAGATTGCTTACCAGCGGATGATTCTTCGGCTCGTTTACCGGCTTATCATATAAAATAAAACCTTGCCTAAAATTACTATAAAATAATAATTACAGGCTATATATTTAATCACTATCCCACACATACCTTCCAAATCCACAAGACGGAACGTATAATATTTTATATTAGATTAAAAACCTAAGCACCCACTCGCTGCCATTTCCAGACGAGAGCAAACAGCCTCAAATCTTAAAAGAAAGCATCTTAGGATCTTCAAAGCAGAAAACCATATACCATAATGCCGCAGAAAACATTTACAAAGGAATTGTTAAGAAGAAAATGATTCCCAAAGAAAATTAGGAAACAAGGACTTGAGTAAAAATTCGCGTTATTTTAAAAATTCTCTTTCATTCGTATGGAAAAGAATAAAATTATAACAGTCGTGAGATTTTTATTAAAATGTATTAATTCTATACACTTAGATAAAATTCGACCGTCTCTGGATGAGTCCAACCAAGAATGTTCTTTTAAAGAGAACATTCTTGGTTAATAAAATAGTTTTATTTATGGCATAAGCCGGTCAACGAACGGATCACCTGATGGTAAGCAATCGGCGTCGCCCATGGACACCTGAAACACCAGAGGCATTACAAGTGCGTTACCAGTCATTTGCGGATTAGGAGTTTGAGGATCGTTGGGGATTCAGGGATTGGGGAGATTGGAAGGGAACTCACACGACGAAACACAACGCAAGTGTTGCTTCACGTCGGTTTTCTATGAGGCCGTGGTATCACTCCGGTCGAGCCGGTAATTGTTTCACGTAAAATGGACACCGACTTTATATAAATCTGGTTACTGTAGATGATGATGATCTTAGTCAGTGCTAAAACCAAAACCTACTAACAGATGGTGTCAGTGTATGAGAAATTCTTGAAAAGAGAGAAAATTTAGGAATCTGTTCAAAAATTTCCTAAAACACATGAACGGATTTTAAAAACAGTAATTATTGTAGAAAATGCATTAGAAATAAGAAAAAATTGAGAAATATGATGCGTGTTCAAGGTCGCGTTAAAAAGCTAGTGTGTAAGTATAATACAAGATGTATTAATACGAATAAGAGGAACGTTGAGTGTTTTCCAAGGTCACATAATGTTCCGCTTTTTGATAAAGTATTCGCAGCTAATAAATATGAGGGCGAGTTCTTTTAAAGCTTTCTTTTATATTATTCTGAGTTGTATGTGAATGCTTCAAGGCATATTTCTAAAGTTAAATTTGTAACGTTATATGTCAAAAAAGTATCCAAATAGATCATCATTGTCTATAAGGATGACAATACCTGGTTACTTGATTTTATATTAAATAGGTTGCTTATGAGTCGACGTGCTTCATCGTAGACCGCATGATCGTTTATCACCAGGCTACGATAGATAGGGGTTAAACGATGGCCCCAACAAAATAAGTATTTAGAGTTGGTTCAGTGCTCGTGTCGAATATGAATTATATAGTCCGATTAACCTCTTATCTACCGGGATATGAAACACAATACAAATCACATTGTGTGATAGATATACGCCAGATTGTCACAGTCACAATCTCGCGTATATCTACGTTCCGGCATGCCACAGGTTAACATGAAAAATGATATCAACTGTTTCTTTTATGGTCAAGACATTCCAACTGATTATAACATACATTGCATTTCGTTTGGCTGGATATAAAACCTTCCATACCAACTTAAAACCACTCGACATTAGCTTTAACTCGTCGAGTACCGTCATTATAGACACAATTATAGAACAATAGGTTGCGGTCACCGGTGACTTGGTGTTTGACAGTTTAAATATAATTATACGGACAACAGAAACGAAGTAACATACCAAACCAAACATAGTTAACTGTTTGTATGTTACTAACTACTTAACTAAAGAATTAAAGCTAGGAAAGCAATCGAGAAGCACACATGGGCGTGTTGAGATAACCGCCATTTTGTTTCAACAGAGGAATTTAATTGTTCTGTGTGTTGAAAACGAGGTTTGGTCCCTGTGGTAGCTGGTAATAGAAGCGGGAAATCTATTAAAAGTGGGGTTGAGTTCTAATGACAGCTGGAGTGTTTATACTGAATTGTGGAGGTGTTGAGAGGTTCTACAAGCAGCGAATTTAATAAAAGAGGGATTGTAAAAAGTTTATTCTTGTTATTTGTTGACCCCAGAGTGGTCAAAAGTGCACTACTATTATTTTAATACTAGCTACTTCCGCGCGGTTTTACACGCTCTGCTCAGCTCCTATGGGTCGCAGCGTGATGTTTTATAGCCTATAGCCATCCTCGATAAATGCACTATCCAACACAAAAAGAATGATTCAAATCAAACTTGTAGTTACGGAGATATGTAGAGCGCGTTCAAACAAACAAAAACACAAACTCTTCCTCTTTATATAATAGTATTAGTATTATATTATATAATAGTATAAGATTCAGCCTGATAATGATCATATGCACAAAACTATAATTATTAAGTAGTTAAGAACTTTATATACCTTGGTTTCAAAAGTTTTTCAAACTTTCAATTAATAGAACAAATAAAAAGTTATTTCTAAAATTGTAGAGTACGAGTGTTCATTACGTAATGGCTCTACCTTGTAGTTGAGGTTCAACTCTACCAAATACATAGAGCAGTGTAGAGGAAAAGAATTTAGTTTTTATAAGAGCATTTCAAACGGTGGATGTGGTTTCCAAAGAGCTTTTCTTTAGTTTCGAAGATTTTCTATGTTGGTAGTCTTTTAAATGAATGTTTTCTTAGATTTCAGTGAAGCTTTAGATTTAATAGAAGTTTAGTTTTATTTTGGTTTTAAGCCTTTGACTGCTGATGTTGAAGGCAAATTTTCAGTTAATGTCGGTCACAGATGACCCCCGTGGCGTTTAAAGTGTTAATGGTAGGGTCAAGTAAAATATTAATTTTGATCGTTGCTTTTTATGGGATAAGCCGGGAAACGAGTAGACGGATCACCTGATGGCAAGCAATCGTCATCGCCCATGGACACCCGGGACACCGCATTACAAATACGTCACCGGCATTTCAGGGATTAGAAATTTGAGGAGTTTTGAGGGGAATTGTTGGTATTCAAGAATTGGGGAGATCGGGGAACGGGGGAGGGTAATTGGGCCTGCTTGGTTATTTCTTACAGTTTCGTTGTATTTATTGCTGGAGTATTTTAAAACAGGATTTTAATTGCTTGTTGCGTTATCAGACGTAGTTATGTAGACGCCATTTACTGTAGTAACGATGTATCTTTTACTTACCTGAAAAGAAACAATAAATACGTGAATTTTGTTTCATATACAATAAGTCAGTAGATACTAAGGTTAATATCAGTTTTACACATAGGAGAAAATCCAAATGTGGGGCAACGTTTCATTTAAGAAAAAGATTAGCTCCTTTCAATAGTATTGATTTGTGTATTCTAAATAAATAATTATTAATCATGTTTTTATAATAACTATCGTGAGACATACTAAATTAAGTAAAAACGCGGGTTACTCACGTGAATATACTGAGAAAAGCTGTACTAGTTTCGAACCACAGTGGGGTTCTTCCTCATGAGCTGCGCGACGTCGCCGCGACCGCGCACGCTGCTCATGAGGAAGAACCCCACTGTGGTTCGAAACTAGTACAGCTTTTCTCAGTATATTCACGTGAGTAACCCGCGTTTTTACTTAATTATTAATCATGTTTTCGGCTTATTCACGAACCTGTTTGACAAGGAACTAGTTAGTTCGCCGAACTACTTCAGTAGCAGCGCAACAGTAGCGGCGTCACGGGTCATGGAATGCTGATCATGAAGCCTCTAGAATGGCTTGAAACTAGTCGAGTTCCTCGTCAAACAGCTACGTGAGTAAGCCGAAAACATAACAATCTAAATGAATAATTCTGATTTACA